ACCAAACCACAGCCCACAATCCCCAATCGGCGAGGGCGGCAAGGCGGGCTTATCCTTCCGGACAAGGGACCCCGTAGCAGGTTACCGAGCCACCCAAGCAGTGCACTAACCAGCAGCCATTCCAACCGTCTGGCCTCCAACTGCCTTGCGTTGATACAATCGATCGAGGCCCATCTTACCCCGCATGAAGCTAAAGATCGAGTTTGTCCTACAAGGTCAGCTAGAACGTACACCCTTCCATGAGGAAGATGTCATGGACTCGACCAAACGCAAGCGCTCAGCCAAGCAGGGTTCATCCCACAGAAGTGGGCAGACATCATTGGTGTTCAGTACCCTTTCAGTACTAAAGCACCGGAACCCAACTTGAGACCCTTGTTTAAGTGGCCTCGACGCCAGTTCACACACTACATCGGGTGCAGCATGTAAGGGAAAACCACATAGGGTCGGCGTCAGTAGTTCAGGATGTCTGCGGCTGCTTCCCCAAACATAGGGTCCAGGGCCGCCCTAGATCATCCTACTACATCCCTTTCAACGGCGTTTAGCCGCAGCGATGTATCCACCGCCACGTTTCTAGCGGGACTACGAAGAGGTAGCCGCCACCACAACCCCCTCAAAGGCACCAATATTGCTCAACCCGAGGCCACCTCAGGCATTCTAAGGCTACGCCCCGCCAATTAGATGACGAGGCATTTGGCTAGCTTAAGAGAGTCATAGTTACTCCTGAGTCATATTCTACTTTTAAATCAAGAAAAATAGTCACCGCAGACAGCCCGATCATGTTTTGATAAGGTCATACTTAGTTTATGTTTAATTAATAAGACTGCAAACTCATGGGCTAAAAATATTATTTCTAGGTGATAATTTCAGAAATTTTTAAACTTTTTTTATGGCTCATTAGTAAGTTGTTAAACAAACTTTCGTGCCTATGCATAATCAGAGATTAATCAGATAACAAAAATATAAACAGTTACGATCCATCTCTTAGCTGACTAACCGTCATTTATCTAATAATATCCAGTTGATATGGGATGTCTTTCGAATAGAAAAGTTTTCTCTTATAAATTACGGCACAATTTTTATTTACAAATGAGTAACTACCGAAGACAGTATATGAGGTTGCGCAACTCCGTGAATTGATCAAGTTAGACAATAAAAGCGTTAAATACCGGCTCAGTGGTCCAGAGGTTGGGCGTTATCGCGCAAGACCGAAGGTCCCGGGTTCGAATCGTTCGAGATGCAGGAGTCGTGGGTGCGCACTGCCACTGATGAGTCCCATACCACGACGAAACGGCCGTCCAGTGCCACCACGTTTCTAATGGTGAAATAACATTGATCGATTCATGATTTCAAATGTGTAATTCACTAATCTTCACAACCCCGTTATGTAAATGTATAATTATAAAGAGAAAATTAGAAGACTAACAACTTGATACGTTAGTCTTCCATAATATATCCAGTCAGTAATCATTAGTTTTTTCTGTTGAACACAGCCTCACTAGCTGATATATACAATATTCCTTGTCGGCCTTAAAAAGAAAATAGTTTTGGGAATAGATATTTATAATTACAATTCCTAAAGTGTCTTTTTTAATCGCTGAAGATTGGTAGATTAGTAGAAAGTGCAAGTAGATAATTGTCAAGTAAGTTATACCGTCAGCTGAGAGTCTGTCTTAAAATTCATTATTAATCATTAATCTCACAAAACTCCGAAAGTGTATCAATTATCACTACATTCAAAACCCTTAGTTTTTATCTCAGCACGGATATAGAAGGCTCGATTGACCTTCGCCAGCTTGCATCACTTATGGCGTAGGTGAGATATCCGTTTGCTAACTAAAGGTCGAGTCTACTGCGCAGCAGTTCGCTCAGTCCTACTATATGGATGCGAAACATTGCCGGTAAGAGTAGAGGACATTAGTAGGTTATTAGTATTCGATCATTGATGTCTTCGAAGCCTTGCTCGTATATCCTGGGACAACCGAGTAAGCAATGAAGTTGTTAGGAAACGAGTCCTAGGTAAGGGAAGCAGTTCAGTAGATGAAGTGTTGAAACATGTGTTACGTATGCTTAACCAACATCTGCCTCGTCAAGCTATATTTTGTGGTATAGGAGTAGGTTGGAAGAAAGCTAGGGGTGACCAAACCAAAAGTCACTGACAAACGAACTGAGTCGTGTTGGTAGATGTAGGCTATCTGGTTGGAGTCCGCAAGATGATAGTAACCGATGGTTGTAGACCTTGAACGACATAGCTGAAAATCGTTTGTAATGTCACATGTGCATCCACTATTTCTGTTCTCTCAAATTCTAACATCCTAAATTCCACATCATCTCTATCTTTCTCTTTCTAACTTGATCTCACTGAATTATACTTCTTAAAATCATGTCTTCTAACCCTAATCTTCTCCATTACTCCTATAACTGACTGATTGATTGCCTGACTTAGTTTTTATCTGTTAGAGCTATTATCATATACTCTATTGAGCTAGACTGAATGTATGAATTTAATTATTTGAAGTTGGCCATTTCAAAATCAACACAAATCAATCAATTCTAAGAGCGCGTAGTACTCAGAGTCAATACAAACAAGTATTTACCAACTGTAAATATTTGAATTATCAATAAAATACAAAATTGTTACAAAATTTATAATAATAAAAAGGCAAATTAAAACAAATTTACCAATCCAATGATAAATCTGCGAAAACAGTCGCCATCTTTGAATAAATTCATTCATACATTAAATTATATATATACATATATATTATACTCAAGGGAATGTTTTTATTTTAATATCGATCGATGCCAAGATTGTTGAGTGTTCTGTTTTATTTTTTTTGTACTTATTTAATGAAACTTTTTATCTTGTTTTTTTGTTCTCTCTCTCATAAAATCACTCGATTATTATCATTAACAATGATTATTTTTACAATGTGAATTCGTTGATTAGTGTGTTTATAGTTATGATTTTAGATGTCGAGAAAATTCCATAACTTCTTAGTAGAATCTTCTACCTTGTTGATTAAAGCTGTGTTTTTTTTTTCACAAAAATTTAACTGAATGATTTCAAGGAAATGTTACATTTAGAGTCAACTGTTTGTTAGCTAATACGAGTTAGTGATAGAAATCAACGATTCGATAGAACCAACACGTCAATACCCGAAATAAACAGCAGCAAGAAAAAACAACGTAGATTTTTGGTTTGAGCACGTTTGAACATGTTGACTAGATCAACCTTTATGGATAAGTTAGTACTTCACATTTACGGTTTTTTGGCTTTAAGAGAGAGAGAGAGAGACAATTTTATTTACTTCAAAGTGAATATCTCGAGCTTGTATCAAATAATTTCAGCGGTAGACACTTTATATTTAATCTGGGTTACCAGTGAGTTTTTAAAAAGAACTTTTGTAGTTAGGTAAGTAGGTAAGATGAAAACCTAGCACTCAAGCCTAAATATTTTTATCCAGAAAAAAGTGTCTATCAGTAAATATATAACCTGTGAAAATTTAAGTACGACGCTTAAGTCTTAGACAAGGTATCTACGTATTCCGTTCCCCTAAATATCAGAAGGCAGTGGATAGATGTTTCTCACGAGAATGTAAACCTTCATTGAGAGACTCCATCAGAAGTGGAACCCAAGATATTGAGGTTTAGGAGTGACCACCTAATTTGTGTAAACCGCTGTTGATGAACACTTGTATTTTCTGGATGATGGCTTTTCTAGTTCTCCAAGTTTTCGTCCTGTCTTGATAGCATTAGTGAAAATTCTGACTTAGATATTGGTGGATAGTAGTTTTGAGTTCCAGATGTTCTTCGATTGTAGAAATGTTACCCTTGATTTGCCAATCCACGCCTTCATACCTTCATCAGATCCACCTTGCTCATCAGTGATGCTACCCAGATATGTAAAGGCTTTTACAACTTCCAAAGCTTCTCTGTCAAGCGTGATTTTGTTGGTGAACGTTGTGTTGTATCTCAGATTGCTTGCTTTTTCCTTTGTGTATGTTGAGACCTGCTGCTGCTGAGGCTGCTAATACACTGGTCGTCTTCCTCTGCATTTGATTTTATGTGTGAGATACAACAGTTAGGTTATCTGCGAAGTCCAGATCGTCCATCTGCATCCTGGCTGTCTGTTGTATCCCGTGCTTCCCCTCAAATTTTGATGTCTTTATAATTCAGTAGACCACCAGGATGAAGAGAAAGGGTGATATTAAACAACCTCGCCCGACACCGGTCTTTACTTCAATCGAGTCTATGAGTTGTCCTCCATGTACGACTTTGCTGTTTAATTCAAAATAAGAACTTCGTATGATGTTGATTATCTTCTCAAGCACGCCTTAGTATCGAATAAGTCTCCATAGTGTTTTCCTATCTCCACTATCAAATGCTTACTCATAATCAATGAAGTTGAGTGATGAGTTCCATTCAATTGATTGTTCCACAATCACCCGTAGTGTTGCGCATGATTTATCTTTGCGGAATCCAGCCTTCTTATCTCAATGTTAAGAGTCTACACAGCCCTTCATTCTGTTTAACAGTACTCTGTTGAAGACTTTGCTTGATGCTGAGAGAAGAGTTGTGCTTCAGCAATTCCCACACTTACTGAGAATGCCTTTCTTTAGTCTCTTGACTAGGTGTCCTTCTTTCCAGGTCTGTTAGTACACGTTCTTCCTCCCACACATCTTGCCAAAGTGTATATAGAGTATCTTCGCATTTACTGCTATGAATAAATCATTCTACTCTTTTATTCAACAAACAAATAAAATTGCAATGATAGACAATGATTTCATTAAGTTTCGTACTTTTTTTTTAATACAAAAATAGCTAAATGCAAAGTTTGCACTGATCTCCTTAACTAACCATTCTCTATGTATGTGATGTCATAAAACTTTTCCAACTATTAAAACTATATCATTTCACTTGATGAAATTATTTATTAATAAATGACAAGCCTTTTTCTTAATTTTTTTTTAGTCAACAGAGGATTTTTTTAAAAATTAAAAATGGATCATTCCTCCAATAAAGGGAATTGTGTCACTACGGAATTATCCAAAAGAATTAGTCAAGCAAGAAAAGCATCGGAAATCAGCGACTCAACTATATTGTACAATAAAGAAAAATATCGTTCTACATCTTTACCTATGAATGATCTTTTGACAAGGTAAGAGAGAAGTTGAAGATTTTAAATTATATTTTGAATATTATTGAAATTAACTTAACTAACTCAACTAGAAAAGCATGGTTGATTGTTTTCCAATTGGTACTAGAATGGTTATGAGGGTAGATGTTACTTCCCCGGCTACCCACAGTGTGGAAGGGTTCTGGTTGTCACAAGGGGCAAAGGGTACTAGAATACAGACGAGTTGAATACTCGTCTTGTCAAATCAGTATATTCTAACATGCGATAGCATTCAACCAACCTATGTGTATGATTAAAGTAAGATAAGAGAGTTTATTAGTTGAATAATCTGTCTCCACAATTTTTAACTTTATCAGAGAAATCGATCTATGATAGAGTAGAACTGAAAATTCTCATTGATTTATTGGCTGACAGGTAGAAATGTGTAGAGATTTTGGTAATGCAATCATGAGCAGTATCAGTGTTATGCTCTTCTCTGGGTATGCTTAAAACTATTACGGGTTCACCTTAGTCGAATAACGAGAACAAAACAATGAACCAGTGTCCAGATAGGCTACTCTGATCCGATTGTCCCAATTGAATCAGTAAGAAGTCTTTATATAGTGTAAAAAGTGTATTCTACAAACACCAAGCCAGCACATAATGAATCCAAGCACTCAAATTGGGTTTATTTATACTCTATAGAGACGTTCTTGGGAGAGTCACAAAAATAGCACACTAAAATAACACAGTAACTAATCACAGCCAAGGGTTTTCCTGGTGGGAAATGTGGTCTCAAGGTCAACTGATCGGCCCATGAAATCAATCCAAAATATTTATCAAACAAGTTCTGTGAATCTAACATCCCCAACAATCAGTTGGATTTTTATTCAACACTTAAAGGATCCATAGTTTGAACATACTTCACAGAGTTCTTTCAAATGTCATGTAAGCTAATAAATGATTAGGTTTAAACAATGTAAGCAATCGGAATATTATCGTTCAAATTGTATTTTTATAGACAGTGTCTTCCAACAAGATTTATAAACGTGCATGTCATCCTGCTAGGAACTATTTGGCCACATATACTTTCGCCGAGCATACTGATGTTTACACTAAGACTCAAATCCAGTAATTAATTATTTCAAACACTTGTTAGTCATCTATTAGACTATTGAGTTATGTTATGCCCACAGCCATCGATAAGACTCAGTGGTAGGTAAATAACCTTAGAAATAATAATAATAACTTTCAATAATTCAAAGATCAAAGTACCTGCGAGTAACATAAGTGGAACCGATGCCAAAATTATATTCATTAAAGCGAACATATATGTTTAACACATATGATATCATCAATCAGTCTTTGTTAGACCACCATTAGAAATAATGGACGGCCGTTTCGTTCTGGAATGGGACTCCTCAGCAGTGCGCATCAAAGACACCTGCGCCCCGCAGGATTCGAACCCGGGACCTACGGTATTGTGCGCGAACGCCTAACCACTGGACCACTGGGCCGGTATCTAACGGTGTTAATGTCTAACTCTGATTGTTCTACGGATTTTGCATGACCTCACCCATTTGTCTTCGGTAGTTACTGCCTACACCCGACGGGGTTGAACTCAAGGTTTCATATATATATATATATATATATATATATATATATAATAGATAATTCAATGTTGTTCTATATATGATGAGTAGCATTACTAAATGTAACTAGCGTTATCAAAATTAACACTCTTTCATAGTACATATTGAACAAGGGTATTTTATGTGACATGATAATCCATACTAAATAATCTTCTAAAAATGTGAAAACAATAATGTTGTATCTAATGACTAGAGATGATTTTATTGTAGACATCAATGAAAAATGATGCGACATTAGGATGTTGTCATTGAAGTGATTTCAATAAAATCATGAATCGATCAATGTTAGACATGCATTAGAACTTCCAAGTTCTTGTAAGAAGTCAGGATCAATCGAGTTCAACCCTGTCATGTGTGAAGTAATGTGGTATAAATGAGATTTAACTCTTTGGTCTACAGGTTAAGAGTTCGCATACGAGACTCATGGACGTAAACACTGCTGATGAGTCCCATGCTAGGGCGAAACAACCATCCAGTTCTTCCAGGTTTCTAATGCTCGTCTAAAAATAATCAATTCATAATGTCAATGTAACTCACCAGCTTCCTTCCATAAGCCTTCAATGAAACTTTAAATGATTATTTTTATCAGCTTATCTATTGACTATAAACTGCATTTTTAATTTCTGTTATAATTCCAACTGTTTAGTTGTTTTTTCTTACCGTAACCTACAAAAAAAAATAAAAAAATTCTCTTAGTACACAAATGAATATTAGTCTACTCATTGATTGATCCTTTGATTTTCAACAGTAATAAAGTAAACTTTGATGTAATAAATATTGAAAATTCAAAACGAAAACTTCGGTATTTTCTTTATCCTAAAAAAACAAACTCATCCAAGTTGATAATAAAAAGAGAATTTTCTGACAAATATTTATTTATATTTATATGTAAAGTCAAAAGTGCCAATTCTGTCATTAATATTGTAGTGTTTAATAGAAATAAGAACTGTTTTGCATTATGTCGGTAGAAACTAGAATTAATTGTTGTCAGTTTTTTTTTACAGTTCCCCTTTTATTTTTGAATTCCCAAAGTTAAATATGTCGATTTGTTTTCAGAGCATTGAAACATTTAACTGGAAGTTTTTGATTCAAAGTTCAATAACAAATAATAACAAAGGAACGACAATTTTTTTATAGGGGATAATTTAAATTCAAAGAGAGATGTTTAGCTATGTACTTGTTTAAAATAGAATTGTAAATAGACTAAATGAGATGAATAAATCTAACTCATAAAGAAATAAAAATGGTCAGTTCTGTAGAAGAAAAAATCAGAAAATAATTTATGGTTACTCAATTCGGCAAAATAACTTATCGTTAAGATCAGACTTCTTAGATTAATACATTGTCATATCTTGGGAAACTAAATTTTTAGTGGAACATTTTGCACAGCTACTGCCAGTGATTAGTTGTATCGAATTTCATCTACAACTTACATAGTTTCATCACTTCTGACGGTTCAGTCTTCTCATTCAGTAGTCAGATTCTAATAATCCTATGTAAAGCTGATTAGTTCAGGTTATTATCAATGACAACAATCTGTTGGTCATTGAATGAACTTCAAAGAGGTGATAAATTGATGTCACAGTTGAGTAACAAACTTCTGACCAATTCCACTAAGGACACAGGTGGATAACTAACCTTTGACGAACTCCACTAAAGACAGTGCAATTAAAAGTAGTTTATAATAATTTGTTTAGAGAGATTTTTCAATCAATCAATCAACAGCAGGATTTGAGAGAATACAAAGAATGAATGCACCTATTCCATTGCAAACGGTGTTCAGCCAAGTCATTCAGGGTCTCTAACCATCGATTACTATCATCTCGCGGACCCCAACCAGGTAGTCGACTCCTAAGCCGACACGACTGAGCTACTTCATCGATCTGTGCCATGTTTTGGACTGGCCCGACCCTAGCTTTCTTCCAACCTACACCTACACCACAAAACATAGCTCGTCGAGACAGTCGGTGGTTAGGAATTCGTAACACTTGACTCAACCATCTCAAGTGATGAGGTTTCACTGCTTTATCTATTGGTCTGCCATCCTTACCTGGGACTCCTTTCCTAACGACAGCATTGCTTACTCGGTTTTCCCAGAATATTCGAGCGATGCTTAGGAGTCACCTATGATCGAAAATCAGTAACCAAAGAATATCTAATCTAACTGGTCATATTTCATAGCCATAAAGTAGGACTGAGAGAACTACTGCGCAGTACACTCGTCCTTCGATTAGCGAACGGATATCTCGTATACACCATAAATGACGCAAGTTGGCAAAAGCCAATTGAGCCTTCTGTATCCGTGCTGAGATCTCATCACACATCAGGCCATCAACAGTGGTGAGACTCCCGAGTTAAGTGAAGCGGTTAACACGCTCAATCACTTCACTCCCTATTACTAGTTCAGGTGCCAATGCAAGCCTACCAATGAATCTCCTGGTAGAAGGTCTACTCCTGTCATATGTAGGCAGTACCCAACAAAGAAAAATGGGTTTGGTCGCTCAAAATCCCTTGATCAATCAGAGTTACATATGAACATCGTTGGATGCCGGCTCAGTGGTCTAGAGGTTTGACGTTCGCGCGCAAGAATGAAGGTCCTAGATTCAAATCCTGTGAGGTGCAGGATTCATCGATGCGCACTGCTGATGAGTCCCAAATCAGGACGAAGCGGCCGTCTTTCAGTGCCTCTAATGGTGTGGTCTAACAACAACTGATTGATGATTGCAAATGTATAACAAACACTAATCTCCATAACTCTAATTGAAAAGAACTAAAAAACTGTGATGATCTATGATGAATTTTTACTATTTACATTATTATACTACTTATATTTAATGAACTTGATATTTGTTGTTTCTGCTTATTCTTTATCAGTTGAACATTTTCTCTTACTTTACATATATATATTTATTATCTTAATTTTTTTCATTTCAGTTCATTTCTTCAAGCATTTCGTGCTCATCATATATCAATCTATCCTGATTTAAATCAGATCATTGAATTGGCCGTCAGTGATATTCAAGAGAAACGTGAAACAATGGATAATATGGAGAAATCATTCATCAGGTAGTTGGTTATTTGTGAAATATTTTATATTCAGTCATTATACATATATATTTGAATATATCGCTACTAAGAGGCCAGCACACAAATAGTTTATTGACACACGTTATAGAATGGTAGTCATTGCCTCAATGTAACAGCTCATATGTTTATGTATTATGACACATTTTGAAATCATGAATCGACCAAAGTTAGACCACCATTATTAGAAACCTGGAAGCATTGGACGTCTGTTTCGTCCTGGTTTGGAACTCATCAGTGACAGTGCACATGCACGACTCCTACACCTTGCAGAATTCGAACCCAGGACCTTCGGTCTTGTGCGCAATGTTGATAACATTTGAGTATCAGCAAATCACTGGTGTGAGACTTAGTCACAATAGATAGATAATTCAGGCGTCTCATTGATAAGTATTTGTATCTTCCAGTACTTGATATTTTCGAAAGTGGAATTATTATTGTCTTTGGTGATTGAAAAACATTCTAAGCGGATTATTTTCATACTGATTCATGGTTACAAGTCCCAGCTGAAGGTGGACGGTGAATATTAATGGAATTAAAGAAATGTTCATCATCGCGCTCAGGACTCATCAGCTGCATGCAACTACATCCCAGTGTTGATGTTCATGTCGAGACTCGAACTCACTACTTTTCTCTTCAAGCATCCAACGTTTAATCTTTGAGAATATGCTTTACGGGCAAACCACCTAAGTTAAAGTTATCAGGTCTTTGATTTTGGTGCAAGATTCATTTATACAAATAGTTAAAAGGGTTTAGGCATGATAGTTGGTGTGATTCGGAACCTAAATTGAGGTGATTGTCAGATTTTACTACTGATCTGTTTCAAAGTTGGGTCCATTCTTAACCCTATTTATTTATTTGAAATCATCAATCAATCAATGTTAGACCACCATTAGAAACCTGGAAGCACTGAAAGACGGCCGTTTCGTCCTGGTATGAGACTCATCAGTGGCAGTGCACATCCGCGACTCCTGCACCTCGCAGAATCTGAACGCAGGACCTTTGGTCTTGTGCGCGAACACCTAACCTCTGAACCCATTGAGCCGGTATCTAACGATGTTACTGTCTAACTTTAATCAATTCACGCAGTTGCGCCACCTCATACACTGTCTTCGGTAGTTACTATCTACACCCGAACAGGTTGAACTTCACTGGTCATGACTTCCTTCTAGAACTCGGAGAAGATTCCTCACGAAGCTAGTCAATAGTGAGTACAGGTAATTGCATTATGGGGATTGTGTTGATTGTTAAGTTACACATTTCTAATGGCAGTCTAACATTGATCGATTCATGATTTCAAATGTATAACTAGTTAACATTCTTCAAAACCCTGTAATGCAATCCCATTTATTTAAGCATGTGATTTAATTGAATTTTCCCGAATGAACTGTTTAACGCCATTATAACGAAATCTCAGTAAAAAAATTGTTACCTTTCGTTAAATACAAGGGATTTTAAAGTAAGAGTTGCAAAATCAACCTCCAATTCATCGCAGATTCGTTAATTAAATGTCTTCTTTTTTTATATTTATCTTCATAAAGTTCTTCAGAAAAATTCAATCAAACTTTAGAAAATCTATACAATGAAATTGATTCTAAACTTATACAAGAAGAAGAATTAATGAGTCAAAGAGTAAGTTATTTTCTAATGTCATGTTACATTTCTTTATAAGTTAAGGAAATGTTCTGGTTAATGATAACAACATGAAATAGTTGTGCCACACACAGTCTTGAAATAAACTTAGTTTTATTTCGCAGGAAGTGTCACTGATTGACATCAATAAGAAAACTCATTAAAAACTGGGAACTGATGAATTATTCTTCTATTGGTCTAAATTTTTGGCACACATTGAGAAAACGAATGACTGAAGTTACTAAGTTTGCTCTGTTATGAAGTTGTGCATGTTAGGATATTTACCAAATATCCTAAGAGAATTATTTGTACGTCTAATCCGATTGGGTCACAACATATTTCAGTGTTGTTTCCTATTCGACCTGACTGTATAAATATGCATTATATGTAACGTTTTATGACCCGGATCCTTAGCCTCTTCTGGACTTGGACCTCGTACTTTCTGGATGTTTAAAGAATACATGTTCTACTTCACATCAAGTCATCTTCTTCTTCTATTTGATGGGGGTTTGGGACGCTCGGATTAGAGTAGCCTGTCGTGTCGCCGGATCAACGATCCTCGCTCTCATTCACCGACTAGAGTGGACTAGTAATAGTTCAGGCATGTGTTCAATCGATGTGTTGAAGTGCATGGGTAACCGTGCATACACACAACATCCAGGACGTACATAGTGGGACAAAGTAATCACTCAATATTCCCTGATCATCTGATAAAGTCAATTCGTAATACAAAGCTATTTTCATGAACCGATTACAGTGATCTTTATTTGTTCATAAATTTATAGTATTTCAAACCAATCACAATAATCAATGAATAAACTAGTATCCATTCTAGGAGTTATGGAGGTCGTTGTTTTACGTTGAAATCATCAATCAGTCATTGTTAGACCACCATTAGAAACTTGAAATCACTGGACAGTCGTTTCAGCCTTGTATAGGACTCACATCAACAATGTGCATCCATGACGTCTGCTCGCGGTTTCGAGAACGAGCGCTTAACCTCTAGACAGATGAGTCGGTATCCAACGGTGTTCATGTCTAGTAAGTTATGTTCTAATGAGAAGCCGTGACCAGTGGAGTTTAGCTGTGTCCAGTGTAGGTAGTTACTTAACGAAGGCACAATACCATGGATCGATTCAAGTTAAGCATCAACACTGCGCGTTGCTGATAAGTCGCATGCTAAGGCAAAACGACCGTTCAGTGCATCCATCTTCTTAATGACAATCTGACATTAATCGATTTATAATCTCAGTGAAATTTTTTACTAAGTATTACAAACTGTCAGAGATATCTTTAGTAATTTTTGATCACAGAATACACAAATTTTCTACATTAAACATTCATAAAATTATTTCCTGATTAAATTATCAGAAATCATTTCAATTCAATATTATTTGTAAAATATACAATCTACGGAAAAGTATTGGAGAGAATGTAAAACAAGTTTTTTAAATTCTTGAAACTTTACTTATTTCTTGGTGCAACTGTCACTTCACCATTTACTTTGTTTCCTCTTAATTACTCTTTCATAAAAGTTGTAAAGCACTAATTAAATCTTATGTGAAGTTTATGATGACTGGTTGTTTACAAATGAAAAAATATCGCAATTCATTTGAATTACACATTAAAGTGAATATCTTTAAGATGTGATCAGTTGAGTTCAATCCTGTCAGGTGTAATCAGTAACAACCAACGACAAATGGGTGAGATCGCACAAAATCTGTAGACTGATCAGAGTAAGACATCAACATTGTTGGATGCCGGCTCA